AGAAAAGAGTAGGAATATTTACTTGAAATGAACCTTTTTGTTTGTTTGCTTGTTTTTAAGTGGAAGTAAAACCATCTAAATTTTCCAAACTCCAGAATATTTTCTTTGTTGCTTATGGTGCTTTAGCCTCTTATTTTATTATAAAACCAATGCATAATTATTATAGGAAAATAGAAGATACAAATAAGCCAAAAGAAAACTATAAAGAACATTTTTGCTTCTTATTCCCAGCACAGCTACCATTAACTTCCTTTCTAGGTCTTTTCTACTCTCATGTATAATTAATGTTCATTACTGTTATTATTTATTTTTATTTTTGTTTTATACAAAATCAAGATTTTCTCACACCTGCCGCTGTACAGCCTACCCTTTTCCTTCATTTTACAATGCATACGAAGTTCCATTTCAGTAGCTACCTTTTTGAAACTTCACCTTATGGCCTGTATTGTGTTCAGTTATATACGTGTACCATAATAACTTCAATAGATCCCCGGTGTTTAGCACATGAGTCCTTTACAGTTATTTAAAATCATTACCAAAAGTACAAAGGAGGCATTGCTGATGAAAATGAATTAGAAATGAAGAATTCAAAGGTAGAAAACACAAAAACCTGGAAAACCAACAATATTATGTAGAGATCCTAAAATATTATCAAGCAAACACTGAGGTATTAGAAAATTACCAAATCTTTATTGTAGATACTCATTGTTGTTGTTGTTGTTATATGCTGTCAAGTCGCTTGAACCTGTTTGTTTTCTTAACAGTTCATGGTATATCGACAGTCTTCTCCAGAACCACAGCTCAAAGGCATCAATTCTTCTATCATCCTTAGTCATTGTCCAGCTCTCTGATGCATAGCAAGTGACTGCAAAGACCATGGCCTGTATCTGGTGCACCTTAGTCTCTAGAGTAACACCATTGCTCTTTAGTACTTTTTAGAGGTCCCTAACAGCAGACTTTCCCATCATGATACATCTTTTAATTTCCTGGCTGCTGATGCCAAAAGTGTTTTTCATCCTAATTTATATTGCTGTCTCATGAGAATCAAAGTAACTGATATGGGGAAGTCTGTAGAGGGTCCCTGGAATAGAAGACTCCCATCAAATGCTAATTCCTCTTCTCCCCTTTGTGAGACGATGAGGCTTTACCAAGATTCTCACCTCCTCCCAGTAAAGCAGAATCAGGCCCCATGTTCTCATGAATGAAATACTTTACCAGCTCCTTGTACAACAACTAAATAGTGTGTGTGTGTGTGTGTGTGTGTGGTGAATTCCCTGGATGAGGCAAACAATTAAAAGCTCAAATACTAACGGAACCCACCTGAAAGTGCCTGAGAAGGCAGAGCCGTGTACTTCTGAAAGGTCACTACCATGGGCACTCTGTGGTGGACAGTTGTGTACAGCCACACGTAGGGTGTCCATGAAAGTGAATTGACTTCAAGGCAGATGATTACTGGTGGTATGCGTCAGGTCCAGATCTGGGGGCTAGGGACACGGAAGATAGTGATATGTGTTCCCTGTCTTCCAGAACTTCATAGTCTTGGAGGACAGAGGAAATCAAGTCCACAGGAAACCCCATTATGCTGAGAGACATGCAGGCACAGGAAGAGAGTACTTGAGCCAGTCTGGGGTGAAGAGGCTCCATCGTTTGGGTTAATTTTGTGACTTCTGAGGGCACTCTGGTGGCCTAGTGGCAAGAAGCTGCACTGCAATCCCAGACGTGCACGGCTCAAATCCACCAGGTGCTCTGTTGGAGAAGGAGGGACAATCTCCTTCTGTACCAGTCAGATCTGATTTGACAGTACACACACACACACACACACAAATAATAAAATTTTAAACAATTCATCTTGTGACTTCCTAGCTGATTGCTTCACCATCTCACTGCACCGGTCTCCCTGTGTGTCACTACAGGTCATCAATGCCATCGAGCAGGACTACCGGCTGCCCCCACCCATGGACTGTCCGGCTGCTCTCCACCAACTCATGCTGGACTGTTGGCAGAAGGACCGGAACAGCCGGCCCCGTTTTGCAGAGATCGTCAACACCCTGGACAAGATGATCCGAAACCCGGCAAGCCTCAAGACTGTGGCAACCATCACCGCCGTGTGAGTCCAGTGGAACGTATTGGCGATTAGGTGGTGGGGTCATCTCAGGGTCAGAAGTGGAGCAAGACCCAGCCTTATGACAGTTGAAAGCAAGGACAAGTTAGCTATGGATGTCCACTAAGGGAAGAAATCCTGAGAGTCTCTCCTTCCTTCTCTCCCGTATCCTTAAATATCCTCAGCTTCCAGGGCTGTCGACAGACATTTAGAGATCTGTCTGGATCTCCTCCATCCAGGGACTTCAGCTGGGCTGGTACGACTGATCTAACTGTACAGTGTTCCATTTCTGAGTCATCCTGTTTCCAGAATTCATGCTTTCTGTTAACCATGCTAATCCGTGAGGCAGAGGGAATTACACACTTGGAACTTTGGCAAGTGCCTTGGCAAGACCCGATTGCTGAGGAACAAAGAAATGAAAGCGATTGGATTTGTTATGAGCAAATGCACAGAACACATGTCAGCTGCTGCCTGACCGGAAATTACTCAGCTCCTTTTGCTGTGTTAACTCGCTTATTAATTCATTCTTTTAGCCAAACCTTATTGAACGCTTCTATTTTTATATATATGCCAACCAGGGAGCTCTGGTGGTTTAGTGGTAAGGAGTTACACTGACAAGGTAAAAGAAAGATAGACAGTTCAAATGCACCAGCTTTGACTCTCCAATGAATACCATTATCTCTGATATACTTGAGCCCCTTGTTACAATCACTCTCAATCCATATCATAGAGAATCTTCTCTTTCACTGACCCTCCACCTTTCCAAGCACGATACCTTTTCCCGAGGACTGGCCTATCCAGACAATATGCTCAAACTATGCAAGATGAGGTTTTAATTATCCTTGACTCTCTGGAGAAGAGTATTGAATGTACCATGGACTGCTAAGAAAACGATCAGGTTCATCCTGGAGAAGATTAAATCAGGCTGCTCCTTGGAGGCAAGGATTCTGAAGCTTCGTCTGAATACTTTGGGACATGTTGTGAGGAGGGACCAGTCCTTGGAGAGGGACATCATGCTCGGGAGGGTGGAGGGACAGCGCAGGAGGGGAAGACCCTCTATGAGATGGATTGACTGGAATAGTGAGGGTGAGTGTGTCAGAGACAGTGAGACTGGTGCAAGACAGAGCAGGGTTTAGGGCTATTGTACATAGGGTCACTATGAGTCACAGGCGACTCAACGGCACATAACAACAACAACAACAACTATGGAGCACTCTGGTTGCACTTTCTCCTGCATATTAGTTTGTTCTTTTGGCAGTCCAGGGGATATTAAGTGCTCTTCTCCAACACCACAGCTCAAAAATACCAATTCTTCTTTGGTCATTCTGTTTCTTTTCCAACCTTCAGTTGAATAGCAAATCACTGAAAAGACAGTGGCTTACGTAAGGTGCACCTGAGTTTTTAAACTAACATTATTTCTCTTTAACACTTTAGAGACGTCCTGGACAGCATGTTTTCCCAATATAGCACATCTTTGATTTCCTTTTTTAGAAGATTTTTATTTTATACTGGTGTACTTACAGTGTTCGTATGCTGGTACCGAAGGAGTTGCTTATAGATCCAAGTAAAATGAAATCATTGGAATTTTCACTCTTTTCTCCATCTCTCAGGATGTCGCTTATTGGCCCAGTGGTGAGCACTTTTGTTTTCTTGATACTGAGTTGTGATCCATATTGAAGGCTGTAGTAGGTCTTCTGCAGAAAGCTTTTTAAGTTCTCCTTACTTTTATCAAACAAACTGGTGATATCTGCATAATGCAGGGTGTTGCTTAATCAGCTCCCGAATCTGGAATCACATCTTATACATAGTGATCTTGAATAACTTGCCCAGCAAACAATTGAATAGATACAGAGAAAGAATACAACCCTGTCTCACACCTTCCCTGATTTTAAAGTGTTCTCTTGTTCTTGTTGGACCACAGAGTCCTGTTCAAGGTACAGGTTTCACATGAGTACAATGAAATATTCTGGCATTCCCACCCTTCTCAGTGTTACCTGTAATTTATTATGATGCACACAGTCAAATAAATGCCTTTGCATAGTCTGTAAAATACAAATAAACTTCCTTCTAGTGGTCTCTGCTTTCAGCCAAAATCCATCTGACATAGAGAAGTGATATCATTCATGCCACAGTCTCTTCTGAATCCAACTTGAATTTCTGGAAGTACCCTGTTGATTAATGTACTAGTCTTTTTTTTTTTAATCTTCAGCAAGATGTTACTTGCTCATGATATTAATGATATTGTTATATAATTTCCACATTCTGTTGGAACACCCATTTTGAGAATGGGAACAAAGGTGGAAATCTTTGAATTCATTAGCCAGATGGCTATCTCTGAAATGAAATGTATTGATATGGCCTGGTGAGTATGCCTCGGGCTGCATCTGTTAGTTGAAACATGCAATTGGTATCTCATTGATTCCCTGGACCTTCTTTTTTGCCAATCCCTTCAATGCAGCGTGAACGTCTTCCTTTAATGGCTTTAGTTTTTTAATCATATGCTACTACCTGAAATAATATCATGTCAGCCAATTCTTTTTGGTACAGTAACTCTGTATACTCATTCCATCTTCTTTTGATCCTTCCTGTGTCATTGAAGATTTTGCCCATAGCATGCTTGAGTATTGCAACTCAAGGCTGAATTTGTTTTTCAGTTCTTTCAATTTGAAAAATGCTGAGCAAAATCTTCCCTTTGTATTTTCTAGCTCCAGCTCTTTGCACATTTTATTATAATGCTTTATCTTCATGAGCTACTCTGTAAAACCTTCTAGTCATCTTTTTTACTTTGATATTTCTTCCTTTTGTTTTGACTTCTTGAGTTTGTAGTACAATTTTCGGAGTTTCTTCTGACATTTTTGTCTTTTCCTTCTCCTCTATGTTGTGACTTTTTTGCTTTCTTAATCATTGGTTTGCTTTCTTGATTATTGGTATAATCCCACAACTCATCTGGTCTTTACTCATTAAGATTTAGAGCATTCGGTCTATTTGTAAGATAGTTTTTCAGTTCATGTGCTCAGTTAACGTTAGATTTTAGTTGTTATTGACTTTAGAGAGTTCTGGTGGCCTCGTGGTAAGAAACTCTGCTGCAGTTTCAAAGGCATGCGGTTCAAATCCACCACCTGGTCTCAAGAAGAAGGATGAGCAGTCTCTTCCCATGTGATTAACTGCCTCTGAAATCCCACCAGAGAATTAGCTATAGGGTTGGTTCTGACTCGACACTATATAACAACAGTAATACTTGTGGATTTGTTTTCCGATTGTCCTTGCCCATGAGTAATTCTGTTCCAGAGTCAGTCCTTAGCCTTATTTTGACTGCTGACACTGAGATTCTCTCATCAACGGTTTCATGAGATGTATTTAATTTCATTGCTATGGAGATACCATCAGGTGATGTCCATGTATGATTTTGGATTTGGCTTTTTTTTTTAATATATATTTGTTTTATCTTGGTTTGCTTACAAAGTTCGTATACATTGCTTCACACTACCCTCCATTCACATTATGTTTCATACAAGCATATATGATTTTTAAAGATATCTGCAGTAAGTAAGTCGCTAATTGTACCAAACCCAATCATTTGATCTCTAACTTCATTTCCTGTCACCAAGTCTGTATTTTCAAATACTAGGCCTCTTTCTTTGTTTATAACTTTTGAATTCCCATCACAAGTTATTATTAATATATTCTTATTGCGTGTTCAGTCAGTTTCAGAATGTAAATGTTGTAGAAGTCCTCATTTTTTTTTCATTGTTGTCTTTATTTCCAGGAATTGATCTATTTCCTCTAGGTTTTGAAATTTATCAGCGTATGATGTTGTTGTTGATTGCCTTTGAATCAAACATGACTTATAGTGACCCTATGAACAAAAAGCCTGAAGCCCCTCTAACATTTATCAAAGTTCGTAGAGTTTCCAGAGGCATGTTGTTAGGAAGTGGATGCCACTCCTGCTTCCAAACCTGTCATAGAATATTATTGGTTGAGTCACCTGCAATGCGTTGTGACACTATGTACAGTAGCTCTGAACCCTTCCCTGTCCTGAGTCAGTCACACTGACACATCAACCCCCATTGCCCCAGTCACTGTATTAATCCACCTCATCTAGGGTCTTCCCCTCCTGCACTTTCTCTCCACCTTTGTGAGCATGATGCCCTTCTCCAAGGACTGATCTCTCTTCACCATGTGTCCAAAGTAAGTGAGGCGAGCTTCAAAATCCTAGCCTCCAAGGAGAGACTTGGCTTCATCCTCTCCAAGACAGACTGATTTTTTTTTCCTTTTGACAGTCTATGGTTCAAGACTCTCCTCCAGCACCACAACTCAAAGGCATTGATTCTTCTTCTGTCATCCTTACTCATTGTCCAGCTCTCTGAAGCATAACAAGTAATTGAGAAGACCATGGCCAGAATTAGGCGCACCTTTGTACCTAGACTGACATCGTTGCTCTTCAGTACTCTGGAGATGTCCATGACAGCAGATTTTACCAATGCAATTAGTCTTTTGATTTCCTAACTGCTGGTGCCAAGAGTATTGATTGTGGATACAAGCAAGCTGTAATTGCTAACAGCCTCAATCTCTTCTCCATCTATGATGATGCTGTCAATTGGCCCAGTTGTAAGAATCTTTGTCTTCTTGATGTTAAGCTTCAATCCATATTGAAGAATATATTCCTTTACTTTTTGCAGCAAGTTCTTCAGGTCTTCTTCAGTTTTAGCGAGCAACGTTGTGTCACGTCGTCTACATAATGAGCCTTCCTCCAATCTTTATGTCACACTCCTCCTCATATAGCCCTGCCTCCCGAATGATCTAGTCTGCATACAGATTGAAAAGGTATGGGGACAGGATGCATCCCTGACACAGTCTTTTCTTGATTTTGAACAATACAGTGTTTCCTTGCTCTGTTCTGAGGACTGCTTCTTGGTCCAAGTTTAAGTGTTGCATAAGCACAATCAAATGTTCTGGGATTGTCGTTTTCCTCAAGGTTAGCCACAATTTATTGTTATCCACACAGT